GGGGGGGGGGGGGGGGGGGAGATTAGTTTGTTCACATGAAAAAAAGCTGGTTGCCATGGCAACCACTCCAGATTTTGTCTGCTCCAGTTTTTATTCTCCCCTAAATAGGCTCTGACCAGGATCCAAGTGGAGATGACACATGGCTTCTTCTCCTTTCACCTGCAGAGAATCGGAGCAGCAGAGGAGCAAAGGGAAAGTAAGTATATGCTGTTGCAGGGGGGCTGACTTTAAAGAGGAGCTGCTGTTTTGTTTGACCTGCATAAGCCTTTAAAGTGTATGTAAAGCCAAAAAAATTTTTTATCTAGTTTTGGATAAAGTAAGGAAGGGTTAGCACCTATGCCAGGGTTTTATTGCTGTCTGTGATTCATCCAATATTGTTGAGTTGTGACAGGAACACGAGGTGAAGTGAAATCTTTCAGTGGGGACCTGTTCTGAAAACAATTGTGTACGAAAGAAAAATATCCTCTATCGCCTTTGAGAGAACTCCTCTTACTTGTAAGCAAAAGAAAACTTGACATTTCTGGCTGTCATATATTTTATATGACAGCCATATACCTATTTTCTGTTGCAAAAAAAAAGCCCCCCAATCCCTGGGCACCCCATATGCTATTGGCAAAATTGGAGCCCTGGCCTGGCCGTACTAAATCTCTAATGCGCTAGCTTCTGCAAATTGTCCACCAACTGGCAAAGCAGGCCTCCATACTGGTTACCTGTGCTAAACCTTACCCTCCAGTCAGCCACCTGTCCACCCAATGAGTGTGCCTTGCAGGACAATAACTTCCAACTTTTACAGAAAACTGAAAGACGTCTCAGATAGAGTACTGTTAAGGCTTTTTCCAGGGAAGGTAATAACAGGCATGGTATGTTGCCTGCTCTTGAGCAGCACTTTTACTTTCACATATTCAGAGTAGATTATAGGGTCACCTTAACCAAAAAGAAACCCATTAAATGTCACAGACTGCCAGGCTGATATTCAGAGCCACAAACAAGCTTTATAAACAAGAAAGGGTTTAAAGGCTTTTCTACTGCAGTAAAAAAAATGTGTACTATAAAAATGCTTTTATTGCACACAGCCTGTCATTGAGAAGTCACCACTTAAGCTCTGCTCCATTATACTGCTAATGAACTGATGATCTGAAATACTGTATAGGAAGTTATGTCAGAAAGTACGTCAGATCAAACTAATATTATTATTATTATACAGGGTTTTTATAACGCCAACAGTTTGCGCAGTACTTTACAATATAACGAAGACATTACAATTACAATACAATTCAAGACAACATGGTAAGGAGGGCCCTGCCCCTGAGGGCTTACAATCTAAAAGCGAAGGGCAAGTGATACATGAGGAGGTAGCTGTGTGGGGTTGAATTGTTTGAGAATGTGATGGTTTAAAGTGGTTAGTTTTAGGTGGGATAGGTTTCCCTGAAGAGAAGAGATCAGTATGTTGTGCGACAAGAGAATGTAGACTGTAAATTGGGATCATCTAGGAAAAAGTGGACACTGTGGGTATTAGGACATACTAGTCCCTTATATATTGAGAAGAGAACAGTAAAAGGCAATAGGTAGCATCTTTCAATGGTTCATTCATCAAGACTAATGCTACAATTTCTACCAATTCCGGCTGAATCAGCTGAAATTTGAGCCATGGGTGGCCATGTTGGCACCATCTGGCTTTACAAACTTTTATTACAAAACTGAAGGAGCCAGATGGAAAACGTTAGCTGCACAGTGAATGCATCCAAGCAATTGCAGTGATTGTTCGGGTGTACAGGCAGCCGCGGGGGCTGCCGGCGGCTGCCTGAATACCTGAACTAATCCCCTAATAAACATCACTTTATGAGGTTCAGCACAGCACTGGACTTATTAAAATTAACCCCTACGTGTCAGCCTGTCTTTGTACCTCAACAAAATGCTACATTTTCAACATATCCTATTCTTCCCCTTTTTAAATAACATAAAGTGAGTGTAAAGTAGTTTTTTTTAAATTGTAGGATACTAATAGTTAAGACCTCGATTAGTTGTTTTTATCTCTGTGTCCTGTGGGGATGATTTTCCTTCACTTCCTGCCCCAGAATCACAGCAGAAAATAAGATAAGATCTCTCCAAACCGGGGGATAACCCCTCTGACCAGAACAGGAGTCCCTATTGAAGATTTTTCTTCCTTTACTGTTCCTGTGACAACTCACATATTTTGGATTTTCAATCATTTTCTGTACTGGAGGCAATGGTCACTAGAATGGAGAACCTCCTCAGTAGAGACAAACAGAGCAATAAAAAAGAAAAATGACATACGCTTCAAAGCAAACCTGTCAAATAAAAGAGAAGGCTGGAAACGGAAAGCCATCAAAGGTACCTGCATGTATCTTCTATAATATTCACAAGCATTCTGGGACCCCATAAACATGATATGAAAACACAGCTGGCCTTGTCCCTTCACAATTCCCTGCAGGAGACCTAGGCTGCACATCACTATGAAGGCAATGGTCATGTGATTTCTGTTAAAGAAGATTAGCTCAGATCAGGCACAACTCTTCAACGGAACGTCATCCACTCCAGCAAAGTTCATGTGACTGACGCCTCAACATTTGATAACACGACTGGCTGTTTCAGGGTCTCTAAGCATCAGTTTCTGCAGCCAAGGTACTTTTTTTTTTCATATGCTGGCTTTTATAATGGACAAGGAGGACAGGGAAGTGGAGTAGGAGCCCTTATTTGACTGTTGAAGCTAATAAAGGGTCTGTTAGTGACTCCAGCCTTGCACCTGAGTTTCCAGCTATAATTTGGGCAACCTTTCTCCTTCTGCTATGTCTTCCTTAATGGAACACAGAAGAAACTAGTAGCGAAGCTGAACCCTTGCAGTAATTGCCAAGCTATAGATTAATGCATGCAAAAAAAAAAAAATCACATACCTTTCCCAAAAATCTTCCAGAAAACTCTGAAATCACCATGTGCCCCAGCATTAGCCATAACAGCCTTGAGTGAGCACACTCCATCCAAAAACTCCACTCAAAGTCCGCCACATCCTACACAGGAAATAATATATTAATAACAAAATAACGTTTTTCTGTATAACATTTAATGTTATTAATTTGTTGCCAAATGGGTCACATTTACTATCAATAATCATTAAGTTACTAGAACTATACAGAAGATTGATGGAAGCGCTACACTTATGCAAACTACACTTATGCAAACAGCAAATGCAGTTACTGAAATCAAAGCTCTGGCCCAATCCCTCTTATAGCTCTTAACTGGTCATGGAGGCCATCAACACAAACATTCAAATCACCCTCCATTCCTGTCCCACCACACATGCTGAGTAAACAATGTCTGTAGGGAAGGACACGAGCACTTCTCAGTGACAATAATAGTGGTCGGGGAGGACGTAGATACTGCAAAGTGAGGGATGGCTCTATAAAGGGGTCTGTAGGGGTTGGACACAGAAAGTTTCCATCTGAATGTATAGTACATAGGTCACCAGTCTAGAAAGGAAATCTATTTTATAAAGTGGTGGTACATTTCCTTATTTTTATTTTAAGCGCTTCTTTGGCCTAGGTGGCTCAAATAAAGCAGATTTACTCAACTAGTTCTTGGTCCCACCAGGCTGCTGGACTGGTCCCTACAGCCTTTTCTCTCCTGAGCTCTGGCGGCCTAGGGACTGCTGACGTTATTCCATCTAATGCATGTCCATTGACTTTCATTAGACGTGAGGAAGGTGAATGACATACCACAGCCTGAGCGGAGGGGAAGAGAGGTGAGCGCTGACCACCATGGGACCAAGGATTAGGTGAGTATATCCTTCTTAGGCAAAACAAGCTCTTAACACTGGCGGCGCAGGGGTAGTCCCATTGAACATTAAGGGGGATTGTTGGTCCACGGTTAGTTCTCCCTGTACATATATACATTTTATGGGAAAGGGGCATAGCTAGTTTCTAGGTAACAAAAATGAGATCTCATTTTATTTCACATAAAAAAATTGATCTTGCCCCTCTGCCTTAGCAATCACACCTACCCATCATTATGGAACCTAAGTGGTTTAGGTAATAGGATCACAAGCACCATAAGAGTGCACTTGGACCTACACACATTGGTATCAGCCTCTTGCAATCCCCTGTAAAGCAGAGCTCAGACTAGAAGAGGGAGAGACAGCACAAAGAGCTTATCAGTTGAGTCGCAGAGCTTATGTGCTAACAAGGAATATGCAGAGCATAGTGAAAAAAACAAGCTCATCAGTCTGCAGCTTCTCATTTCGCTGTCCAGTTACAGGCTGGGGGAGAGGCACGAGTCCAGCTCTGCCAGATAGGGCTGTGCTGTATCTGCCAGACAGGGCTGTGCTATATGGCAAATCAGCTTTAATATTCCTGAGAGCCAGTGTGACCCCATCTGTGGTTCTGCCTGCTGACAACATTGTATCATCATGACCGACACATTGTGCATAGGAAGAAAACCTATTGGTATATGGAGTCAGCCCACCTCCCCACCAAGCTCTCATGTCGATCTCTTTTCTCCGCTGGAACTCTGGGCCATAAACCTTGTGTGAGCTCAATGTCTGAGTTTAAAGTAGAATTTTTTTTGTTTTGCATAAAGTAAGGGAGCGTTATAACCCCTGTCAGCTTTTTTTTGCCATCTGTGTCCCATTAGGGAGATTTCCCTTTACTTCCTGTCCAATAGCCACAACGGGAGGTATGAGGAAATCCCTCCAAAGAAATGGAAATCCCTGGTGGTCACCAGGGTCACCAGAACAAGATTTAATATCCATTCCTATTCCGGTGACAACTCAAAATTTGGGATCTTCTTTTACTTTCACTCCCGGTAATAATGGTCACCAGGACAAAGAGACAGGATGAATCTCCCTAAGACAGCAAAAAAAACAAAACCTTACAGGTGTTCTAATCCCTCTCCCCTCTGTCCAAAACTATAAAAAAAAAGTTTTGGCCTCAGTAGCAGAACAACCTTCTCCCCTCCCCTATTTGACAGCATTAGGGCCTGGCGGTTTGTCTCTACAGCCTAACCAGGGTGAAGAGGAGAAGGTCACATGCTCCCCCATATCTCCAAAGGTATGGAGTGGAGGGGAAACACAACCTAGAAGTGTCAGATGTGACAGATTTTCTTTAAACTCTGACATGCTAAGAACAAGAAACTTCCAAAAAGCTGCTAATTTTGTATTTATTTTCCATGTTCTACAGTAGTCCAGTTGGCCCTTTAGGCCCGGTTCACATGAGTTTCAGGTCCGGATCAGGTGCGGATCAGCAGAGGCGGTGCTATGTGTTTTACCGCGTTGTGGCCGCATTTTGATGCGTTCCAGCAAAAAAAAAAATGGGGCTGTCAGTATGTTAGCAGCAGTGCAGTGCGTTTTTGACGCGTTTTGCGTTTCCGGACCGTTTCCTGACCATACAAAATGTGACATGCAGTATTTTTCTGTGGTAACCTGAACGGACTGCGCACGTGAGAACTGTAGCCTATAAAACACATAGGGATACATTGGGATGCATATTTAGTGCAGGAGCGTACGGATCAGGTCAGCACAGAAAACGGACGTTGTGTGAACAGGCCCTGAAACAATAATAGGCTCTTTCACTAAAACAGTGTAGCAGAAAAGTACTAAGTGTACTTGTATTGGTAGAAAAGTAAATTCTAATTGGCTGTAATGGATAACTGTACTCTGCAGTGTTATGCTTCGTGCACTGTAGGGAACTAGCCCAGTGCTGTTATTTCTTTTACACAGATATTGTTGCTTTTTGATTACATTGTATTTTTTATATGGACAGTTTAGACACAAATACAATAATTCTATCCAGTCCAGTGTTCTTCTTTATATAAGCTTGTTAATTAGTTTTTATTTTGTTTATTTGTTGGGGGAGCAGAAAGCCGTCTTTCCATTCGTGTTCTATTAGTCAGAACAGCAACTGTGACATTTAACCCGTTTAATGAGGTTCCTAAGACTGCTCAGGCGGGTAAATTTCATTACAGGGAGCAGTGAAACTTACTAACATGGAAGCAGCGAGGGAGAGGCAAGCCATGTGTGACATTCAGTCTACACTGTGTACAGTACAGGAAGGTTACGCTCTCTGCACTAATTCACTTACAGGAGATAAATCAAGAGCAATTAGGGAAACTGCCAATAAAATATAAACACCAGCAATGGGAATACACTGTATACCCAGGCACAGACCAGTAGTTAATGAGCCAGCTTGCAATATAATTCCTACCAGTAACAAGAATATGTGTAAAATATATTCTGATAAGTAGTGAAGAGTGAAGTAGTAGTTTGGAAAGCTGTTCTGTTACATCTATAAAAATATAAACTAAGCTGGGTACAATTCCTAGCATTCGTTTTTATCCTGTATGCATGGATAATGCACAATATCACTTCACTGCTGGGTGCAAGTCTCAGTATCTGTTCTTAATTGTTATGTGAAGATGTTGTACTGTACCACCTCTCATGTTTTTTATGCTGGGTGTAATTCTTAGTATTTGTTCTTCTCCTGTATCTATGGAAAGAACATCATTCCACTTCTGTGTGCTGGGTGTAATTCTCAATATCTGTTCTTATTCTGTATCTATGGAAAGAACATCATTCCACTTCTGTGTGCTGGGTGTAATTCTCAATATCTGTTCTTATTCTGTATCTATGGAAAGAACATCATTCCACTTCTGTGTGCTGGGTGTAATTCTCAATATCTGTTCTTAGGCCTCATTCACACACAACGCAAGAGCAAAATTGTAAGCATATATGTAAATGTGTACGTCGCGTGTTTATGCACTTTGGCATTACGTGGCAATACCACGGTGTTAGGTGGCTTTTCAGTCCTTTCCATGTTTTCTGGATCATAGTTGGGATCCTGGAGCCAGGAGATTTCTTAGAGTTCTGGGTGGGATGAAATCTCCGTTACTGGGTCCATGCTTTAGTGGCAGCCAGCACCTGATTGTGCACCTGTGTGCATCCCTCATGAGGAGGATGCTGGAGTGTGTTCAGGGCTCCAGCTGGGAAGAGGAACAGAGGTGTTCGGGAGTCAGGAGGACACCACCCAGACGTCAGAGGGGAGCCAGGTGGCTGTGTGTGCTGGAGGAACACACAAGCCAAGCCAAGCTTGGTGTGTGCTGGAGGCACATGCACAGCCTGGGAGGCTGGAAGGTTTGGGAAGGCTGAGAGAGCCACTGAACAGGACAACCTGAGAATGGTGAGACGATCTGTTTTCCAAGCACACTGTATGTTGTACTACTGAAGAAAGCTATTTTATGTTGAACTTGCTTGGTTGTCTGCCTTTGAAGAAATAAAAGACTGTTCTTTTTTCTGTTAAAACGGCCCCGAGACTGATCCTTAAGCGCTCACCATTTGTGCTAACCTCCCCAACATCACAGCGCGGATTGTATGCAATCCGAGAATGCATAATTTTAATAGAAACTTTAATGTACTGTACGCGGGTACAAGCAGGACATACGCGTATTGAAGCTGTTATAGCTGCAAAGGGTGAGCCAACTCAATATTGAACCGTACGGACTAAGACTGGGATGCCATTAAAGTTCATGTGTGTGTAAAGGCAGGCGTCCCAATACTTTTGGCAATATCGTGTATGTGCATGGAGCCATTTATTTGCATATGCTGCATATGGGAAAAAATGCTGCGTGCATCTATACAGCAGTGTGGAGGAGGCCTTATACGGTAGGTATAGATGCTGCATAGTTCTACTTCTCCTGTTCTGTGTGCTGGGTGTATTTCTCAGTATCTGTTTTTATGAAGCATCTATAGGCAATGCACGGTACAATATCTCTTGTTCTGTGTGCTGGGTGTAATTCTCAATATTTGTTCTTAATTTGTATGTGAGGATGTTGGACAGTACTATTTCTCATGTTCTGTGTGCTGGGTGTAATTCTCCGTATCTATTCTTATATTGAAAGCAAAGATGCTGCACTGTAGCGCCTCCCTCATTCTGTATGTCAAGATGGTGCACAGTAACATTTCTCTTAGTCTGTATGCAGGATGTACTGCTCAGTACCTGTTCTTATACAGTAGGTATAGAAGCTGCATGTCAGATATGTGACATCAGTATTCATGACGTTTTCCTCCATTTTGGGATGAAGGAAAAAGAGACCCATGTAATCCCTATTGGAGGCATGATGTGAACAGACCTGCGTCCCCCTATATCTACCCATGCCTGGTCAGGTCAGCAAAAGAGGACATGGATGCAGATTTTTTCATTTTGTCTGATGGACCTAAACGGACCTGGAAGTGGGTGGTTATAGGTAAAGGCACATCCGCTTACATCTGGCTGCCCAAAGGGATGTATTGCAATCCGTTTTGTGTAAACACAGACTGATGGAACACTGGTGTAAAGTGGCCGAACTCTCAGTATCTGGTGAAGACACAAGTAAGCACCAGTAGAGAGCAGCACTTACCCAAAATCACATATACCGTGTTTCCCCGATAATAAGACACTGTCTTATATTTTTTTTGGCTCAAAAAAACACACTAGGTCTTATTTTCGGGGTAGGTCTTATTTTTTTTTTTTTTTAATTTATAACAATCTAAAGTTAATGCAAATCCAAATTAAATAATCCAAAATGGCAAAGTTAAGAATAGGGTGATCAGGGCAATCAGGGGTGCCATACCTTTCCAAGAGTGCTTTCACTATGGATTCCTCACAGGCGGAGTGCATTTGGTATCACTCCGCCTGTGACAGGAGTCGGCGCTATAGAGGAGGCATTGGCTTATGCGGCTCTGCTCCATGTGCTGCCGACTCGCTTCCTCTAGTACTGGCTTCATTTGCACCACTGATTCTCTCCCGCGGCTCTTCAGGTTCCCCCCTTATGCCACCACCGGCCCTGGCAATGGTCACAACTAGGTCTTATTTTCGGGGTAGGTCTTATATTTTAGCAATTCCCAAAAATAGTACTAGGTCTTATTTTCGGGGTAGGTCTTATTTTCAGGGAAACAGGGTACTGATTGTACCAGAGTTCTAAGTACATGGCAAAACAGAGCAATGAAAAAAGCTAAGAAGAGTAAAAGATATACACCAAGAAAAAATCTTAGGCAATGGGAGTTGTGTTATGCAAAAAATTACCTTTTTTAGGCCCCAAAAAGATATTTCTAAGCCAATTTCCTGTTCAAGTTCATCTTCATGTTCTGTGACAGAAACAAATGACTATTAATAAATACCAGGAGCTTTCCCTGGTCCCATACATCAGGTCCAATCTGGTGAGGATCTGCAGCAATTTTCTAACTTGTAGACTGCTGCAGTTCCTTTGTTAATTAGGAGCAGAAAACCGGCCAGTTTCTATCTGAAATAGAAAGTGATGCGGGTGGTGCAGACAGACCTGAAACAAGTCTATGTGCTTTGCAAATGTGGTGAATGCCACTTACACCAGTTTCTTGTGCCAGTATAATGGAGTAGGAAGTTTTGTTAATTTCCCCCCATGTACTGTATCTGCATCCACCATTTACAGCTTCGTAAGCGACTAGCATTTATTGTGGTAACAAAGAGGTGGAGTGATGATGTATACATGTGCACATTTTCATGACTCACATTTTAGGCTTTCCTGTTTTTGTTCAATGAACCTTTTATTAGGCCTTAAAAGAGAACTATGAGGTAAGTGTTTTTCCCCATAGTTCTCTTTAGGGTCACGGGAGGACAAATAGTAACCTCCTCCCGTGACTCAAAGCTCAGTATATAGCGGGCTATTGCCTGCGATATACTGAGAGCGCCGCAGCCGAAACGGATCCCAACAATACTGTTTGGATCCACCCAGCTGCGTGAGTGACAGCTGGCTCTGCCTATCTAGAGCCAGAGCCAGCTGTGCCCGCCCTCTCTCCTGTCCATTCCTCCAGTCAGCACTGGAGGATCGGAGAGGGAGGAATCCCTGCAGGGAGCGTTGACTGACAGTCACCGCTCACTGCAGGGAGACTAACGGGAAGTGAGCAGGTTCGGTGCATGTTTCCGCTCACTTCCCAATCAATTGAGCCGACCTATTACAGCTTCTTTGTCACAGGTCGGCTCTAACTAGGAGGATGAGTGGAAATCACTCACCACATAGTTCTCCTTTAAGCCTAAAAATTCAAAATTTTCTCTACAGGAAAATCAGTCAGACACCAGGGTCGGATGGTAATTAGGCTTCAAACAGCTCTGCCCCTCCCTGTTTTATTGTAGCGGCAGCTCTGCCTTTGCACACAATACACTGTCTGCCACTCTGAATACTAATGAATGGGAGAGGTGAGAAAGAGCTTGCAAAACATAGGTAGACTTTTTTAGATGAGAAGATGAAGAGGAAAGCTAACAAAAAAAGTAAATGTGTGTCTTCATACACAGCGACTGCATATGCCTGCTAAACCCCTTAAGGACAAAGCCCTTTTTTTCATTTTTTGCACCACAGGCTGGGGAAGGGAGGAAAAAGGAGGAGAGGAGGAAAAAGGAGAAAAAGGCGGAGGGGGAGATGAAGAAACCCCACCGGGGCAGGAAATGATTCGGGGGTCCTCGACCAGATCGAATGAGGGGGAACCCCACCAGTGCCCAACCACCATGGTCACGATGAATAAAGCCAATACACCTTCTTAAATTGAAAGGACTAATCTGTGTACTACATAGCCAGTCTGTGGGAGCCAGAATTATTGTTGGTCGGTAGGGGATCAAATACTTATTTTACTCACTGAAGTGCAACTCAATTTCTAACATTTGTATCATGTGTTTTTTTTCAGGATTTTTGGTTGATATTCTGTCTCTATCATTTAAAATATGCCTATGATAAAAATGATAGACCTTTCATTTCTTTATAAGTGGGCAAACTTACAAAATCTGCAGGGGATCAAATCATTATTTTCCACACTGTACAATTGTACTCATTGTGGCACTTTTGAAGCCCCAGGTTCCTTTGTATCCATTTCTCTCTTTTTTTGTTAGTAAGGTTTCACTGTTAGGTTAAAGGTCAAATATTTCAGTATATCAGGGACTCAAGTAATCATCATTTATAACAGAATGATAAAAGCAACAGTGGAATGGCTTTAAAGAATGCTTTAAAGTTACCTCTGGAAGACAAGTAGACCTCATAGAATGAGTAGAAGTGAATTCCCAGGGATAGGAGCAGGTAAATGTTGTATTCCCATTTAGACAGGCGCTCATGTTTCATAGTGATGGGAATGGAAACCTAGTGGAAAAAAATAGCATTAGTCCTATCATCCTATTACTGGAGATCATGCATTGTTACACAGGCTACACTTAGCTGTTTCAAGACATGCGTAGACATGGTCCACATTTGGGGGAGTGGGGATCAGGTCATTAAAACAGTTTATTCCTGTCCCTAGACATAAACGAGCACTAAACCCTCGCAGTGCATGGGGCAGCCCCACTGCAAAGGAAAACCTCTAATTTCCTTGATTTTAATTTCCTATATTATATAATAGGAACAAATTTTCATCAAGTACAGTATGACAGGGTTGAACCCTGAGCTAGGAGCTTTCACATCTGAAGGATATAACAGAGATTTCTTCTTTGAGAGCCCATTTACCCTATGGCCCTATGGGTTGGCATAAGACACGTGTGTTAATTCAACGAATTAACATTCGCTCAGGCACACTGTGGTAAGGAAGCCTGTTCTAAATGGGCTGGCAACGGGGTCATGTATGTTTTTTTTGTGCATTAAGGCACATTGTGGTAAAGCAGCCTATTAATATTGAATGGGCCGCCAGTGTTCCTTAATACACAAAAAAAACAGGCATTGTGTTGTGCTGTGGGTGTGTTGCCCACTAGTGTAGTAGTGCATTGGGGTGCCATTCAAACTGAATGCTAATGCAACACAAGACAAACAGAGTGCTCTACGTCCTTCCTCCAATGTAGTTCCACGGAACACTGGTGCGCACCAAGGCTTCCACCAGCCATTCGTCATATACAGTAGGAATAAAGTGTTTGCACTAGGTTTCGGGTCCAGTAAAAAATGTCTTTATTTATTCCAGGTATAAGACCACACATAGCAAACAGCCTTGAATAAATAAGGAACAATATTACTGGATTGATCTGATCAAATAATTCATCCCCTCAGAGCTACCTCCTCATGTATCATTTCCCCCTCCTCTTTTAGATTGTAAGCCCTCAGGGGCAGGGCCCTCCTTACCATCTTGTCTTGAATTGTATTGTAATTGTAATGTCTTCCCTATATTGTAAAGCGCTGCGCAAACTGTTGGCGCTATATAAATACTATGTAATAATAATAATAATACTGGATTGATCTGAACTGTGTGCAAACACTTTTTCTTTCTTTTATTGCAACACACTGCACTGCATTCATGTATTGTGCGGTAAAAAACTTGCTACCAAAATGTATTGGGTTATTGGGCCCTAATAGAATACAGTATGTAGCACAGTTTTCTACAGATGGCTCTTGCAGGTATCAGTCAAGAGATCTGAGCAGGCAGATCATTTGAGGGCTTCAGAGGAGCTCTCGGGGAACATAAGGAACGAAGCAAAAAGTCAGACTTAATTTGCAATGGGGTGGTAAAACACTTTCACAACACATACCATTAAAAGACTGTACATTCTTATTTATGTATATAACTGCATATGTATATTAGGAAATGGAACAGCAATCGAATAACATTAAACTTGAACTTCAGGAAGGAAAAGCATAGTGAAGAGGCTGGAAAGAGGGAACAGATTCAAAGCTCTCTACAAAGCCAGTAGAAAGTGTGTAGGAGTGGGAGAGAATGGAACAGTGGGGGGACGTGAGTGGGACGGAGCAGCAGGAAGGCCGAGGGTAGGAAACACAATGCAGCAGGTGATACTGGAAATAAACAGCGCTATTGACTACAGAATAAACTGGCCGGAGATATCATGCAGGACCGCTAAGTGACATCATCTCTCCTGAAGCTCCTACTGTGTCATTTAGAGAGGAGAGAGTCAGATAACCGAGGACTACTAATGTGGATACTGAATGGCATAACAGAGCACTTTCTACATGAAGGTTGGAAGGTCAGAGCTCTAAGTCTACACAGTACTTCTACCTGACTCAGAGAACACAGCCATCCCACAGGGTGGCTCTAATTTCTATGAAGGAGTGCATATGATTGCATGTAATAATCTACTTTTTTGAGGTTGTGGATTTGGGGTTCTTGGGGTTTTCATGAGCTGTAAGCCATAATCATCACAATTATGACAAATCACGGCTTGAATTATCTTGCTTTGCATGTAATGAGTCTATCTCATATATTAGTCATTTAGTGAAATAAATGAACTTTGCACGATATTCTAATTATTCAAGTTTCACCTGTATATATGATTTTTTTTTTTGGGAGGGGGGGTTGTTTTAATGCAAGCAGTGTTAAGTACCTGAATTTAATTTGGTATCAGCCTCCTGCAGTCCCTGTACACCAGAGCTGGACTGTAAGAGAAAGAAGCAACACAAGGAGCTAAGGAACATGCTGATAGAAGGAGAAGGGAGAGTGACAGAATGATGATTCAATCACAGTGATGCTTCTCCTTACACTGTCCATTCACAGGCTGGGGCGGGTTAGGGTGACCTGGGCCAAGGATCATGCTGGCCTCATTCCCCTGGAAGAATGATGACATCTAGGGGCAGGAAGGAAGTACTGCGGGGGGGACAGTTGTAGGTTAAAGGTGAGTACTGCAGCAAACACTTTTTTATTTTATCATTTGATGGGCTATTCATTTTGTATGTTTTAGGAATGCAGCGATACTGGTATTTCGGTATCGAGTACCGTTATCTTTTTCCCGGTACTCGCCAATAGCCAATACTGAGTGCCGGAAGTCCCTTTCGGGAAGCCAGGCGGTGTGTAATGACTCGCCACCTGGCTTCCTGATTAGCAGGGAAGCCACCCCCATGCTTCTCGTCACTAGGTGACTAGAAAGCATGGAGCCGGTTTTCTGGGTAATCAGGAAGCTGGGCGCCGTGTAATGATGCAGCGCTGGCTTCATGATTGGCCAGGAAGCCGGCTCCATGCTCCCTCGTCATGAGGTGACGAGGGAGCATGAAGCCGGCTTCCCGACCAATCAGAAAGCCAGGCGCCGCGTCAATACACGGCGCCTGGCTTCCTGATTGGCCAGCTTCCGACTCACAAGTGTAAGTGTAATGACGCGCTGCCCGGCTTTCTGATACTGGAAGTATTGGGCTAGGCATCGGACCATTTGGGCAAGTACGAGTACTCACCAAAATACTCGGCATCGGCATCCATACTAGTATTGGTATCGGTGCATCCCTAGTATGTTTATTCTTGCTGGATTTCTTCTTTGGCTAAATAATAAAGGCCACAAAAAAAAGTATTAATGTTTGTCATCTGCCCATGCCTCGGACCTTTGCTCGCTTGCAGAACAAAGTTGCAGATACTTTAGCAACCAGAAGACTTCTGGATGTGCAGGATGACCTGTGGCCGCACGCTGTGGTTTAACCCGTCGCCTGCTAAGTCCCTACAGGACACAGTAGTGTCACAGAAGATTCTGCCAATGGTTTTGCTCTGCAAGAGAGTGAAGATCCAAGGCACGAGCAGTGAGACAGGTAAGTATTCATACTCTGCTTTTGCCAGTTGTTTTTTTTGTATTGTATTCTGGCAACAAATTTACATTAAAGGAGAATTATGGGGTGAGTATAAAACACTCATCCCCATAATTCAAGCCAAACAGTTACACTGAAGCTGTCACAGGCCAGCACTATTGATCGGGAAGTGAGCGAAAACATACCGCCTATGTGCTAATTTCCTGCTCATCTCCCTGCAGAGAGCGGTGACTGACAGTCACCGCTCCCTGCAGGGAGACGATCGGGAAGTGAACGGATCGGCTGCATGCTTTTGCTCACTTCCCGATCAAAAGAGCCGACCTGTGACAGCTTCTTTGTCACAGGTCGGCTCTAACTATGAGGATGAGTGGAAATCACTCACCTCATAGATCTCCTTTCATCTCTGTATAAAATAGAATTTATTGTCCCTTTGATTTGACTTTCATGCGAAGATTTGTTTTTTACGATTTAACACTATTGCTCATTCTTCATGTGACGACACTCTTTTTTCAACGTTGTTTAGTTATAACTCTGAAGTGAATACCAAAAGTATGTTGTTATGTATGGAAATGTTTCCAATAAAGAAATACATACTAAAAAAAAATAAAAAGATAAAATATAACACACAACTCGCTGAGAAAACATTACAGTGGGAGGGAGATGCTAAACACTACAGGGAGATCTGTCATATAAAGAACAAGTGCACCCGAGCCTCTATTATAGTAAATGATATCACGCTGATCTGTACCAATCTGAGCAACACAAAGTATTAGCAATCAGTTTGAGAATTTCAGAGAATAATTTACTTTGTGTACGTTTATTGCCCTCTAGTGTTTGTTATCTTATTCAGTGTTTAAACCTTTCGCTGCCGAAGCAATTTTGAAGTTTTCTCGTGCACACATCCAAATGTACATTTTGTCCTTAAAATGACACTAAACTCGGGAGTTAAAAATACATTCAAGTAACTTCACTATTAATGTAAATGTATCTTATTTGTGTATCACTCGGCTGTAGATCCTCAAATCATCTCTGAATTGGTGCTGACACTGTCCTTCCTTCTGGAGGGTGACTACTTTTGTTCCCCATGGTCCTTGTGTGTGCTGTAATGTAGTCACCACTCCAAGCTTGCTCCCGTGATGGACTACAAGCTCACGTTTAGTTTACTAATTTGTAATGAGATTGTAGTCCATCACGGGAGTGAGCTTGGAGCGGTGACTACTTTACAACACACACAGGGACCATGGGGAACATAAGTAGCCACCCTCCAGAAGTAAGGACAGTGTCAGTGCCAATTCAGAGATGATTTGAGGATCTACAGCCGAGTGATACACAAATAAGATACATTTTTGTTAATAGTTAAGCTACTTGAATGTATTTTTCAGATTTAACTCCTGAGTTTAGTGTCACTTTAAGGTTAAAAACCCCAAGTATTATTTATTTTTTGAAAGCCTGGCCATGAGAAAAATAAGTTGGTAGCTGTATTTTTTGTATGTTGTACGGTATTTTCTCAACTGCTTATCAAACATTAAAATGAATTTTAATGCAAACACAATGAAATCCCCAATTTTTCTGTAAAATATATAAGATGAGTAAATAGATATCAAACATGTTAAGGCTAAAAATTGTGTGCACACGTGAAGCAGCAACAGACTAAAATACCCAATACTGTCTCTAGGCAACGCTTTAAAAGCCCATCTGTTTAGAGTTAACCTCATCAATGATTCAATAAACCAATTGTTCATTCCATTAACCAATCAATTCATCTCTCATCACTCATCAAGCGATCATTGCATAGCTCATCAGTTTAGCGGTAACCATGAATATTGGCCCTGGAATTATTCCTTTCACTCCGACATGCACAGCGATGCCCAATGTGTGTTACGCAATTGTTATTTGCGTGCACACATGCATGGCAGGTCACGTCACTTCTACTACTTTTTTTTTTTTTTGCTTCACTCTATTATCAAAAGAGCGCTAATAAACCCCCTGTGATATTATACAGTGACAACTAGTTCTCTTTGTGGAGGCATCAGGGGTCTTTTAGACCCCTGATGCCTCCGCTGCTGTCACGTACCTGGGAGGAGGCTTCCCTTGCACCTCGTGTCCCAAAGACTCTGGTGTTGGGAACAGAGTCTGAGTGGACAGCGATTGGCACAGGTGCCAGTGGTGTTCACACCGTGCAAGCTGGAGTTCCGGCACCAGATCGGGTCAGGCTGAGCTGTAATCAAAACCAGGCAGGCAGTGGAGTGCAGAGCAGGATCCAAGATGGTGGTCAAACAAGCCAGGGGTCAATTCCAGTCAGGCAGTGAGGTACAAAGGCAGGAGACAGAGGCAGGTCCAGAAGGCAAGCAGGAGGTCAGGGGCAGGCAGCAATCAACCAGTTTAAGGACAATCCGGGTCAAAGTCAGCAAGATAATCAGAAGCACAAGGGAAGCTGAAGACAATCCAGCAACTTGGAGTCAGCTAGGCTTGCTTTAAATAGGTTGATCCATCAGGAAACAGCATCACTTCCTGTGTGCCGTTTGGCGTGCTTTTGCGTGGCTGTTCCGTGGCGCACGCAAGCGTGCAAGTGCCCGTTTACCTGCCGTACAGAAAACCAGACCCCACACATGCGCAGTAGCAGATGGTTTCTGACAGCTGCACTGTACCTGAGCTGAACAAGGACAGAAAGGCCCTGACAAGCTCACAACACAGCAGCAGTAGGCTGTCACCTGACAGCAGCGAACCTAGAAGTGCTCAGAGCAGAATGCTTCCAGGTTCATGGTACAAAGGAGAGATCGGGTAACGTAAGTGATCTCTTCTCCATACACACCATTCACTATCCAGAAGTAATATTTTTCTGGTCCTAGGATCCCATGGGGAGCAGAAGAGGCATAGAAAGGACGGGGATTGTGCCACTTCTGTCAACCATAGAGGTGATTGTAAGATTACTATAAACTTCCCTTCTACATAGTAGCCATGAGCCGGCTTGCTGCTGTAAGCTTGTTTTAACCTTTTCAATGCCATGGCATGTGGTACACTTCATTTGCAGCAAAGGGGTCAAAGAAAAGAAAATGTAAACCCTTGCTGGAAAATATTTTGTTTGCACTAGCACTGTGTATATCATAAACAAACATTTATTTTCACCTTTTTTCCATCTCAGTGCTGCTGATCTTCTTCACCCTTTTTTTAGGCTATGTTCCCACCATGTCCGGACCAGATCTGGAGCAGATCTGCAAACGCAGTGCAGTGCATTTTGTTGCGTTTTTCACAGGTTCTTTAGCTTATAATGGGCTTACAGGGGCAGTCCAGTGCGTCTGCATGCATTTCTTATGCGTTTCCATGCGTTCCAGACCAGAGAAAATGAGACGAGCAGTATTGTTTTAGTCTGGATCAGAATGGATTGTGCTGGTGTGAACAGAGCCGAGGAATACATTGTGATGTTTTTTTTTGCTCCGGGGACAAACTGTTCTGGTCTGGACATGATTCGGACACGGTGTGAACAAGCCCTGCATCACTTCCTGTCTACATGCACTTGCTCCAGCATCGGCTGCACATCATTGCTTTCTACCGGCTTCCTGATGTTGATATCACCAGACCATGCTTAAGCAATGCCCGTGGGCACAGCTGTTTGTAGTCTTCACCAGGGACGCAGGTGACAGCACAGGAGCAAAAGTTGTCAGCCCATAACAGGAACTGGCTGAGCATGGACCTTACCGACAGGATCACCAGGTATTATTTTATATTACAACAATGTAATATATATTACCAGGGGTGTGGACATTTAAAAATAAACTACGTGTCCAAGGACTAAAGTGGGGGCCCAATCTACTTGTCCCTCATGACAATCTACTTGTCCCTCATAACCATCTACCTGTCCCGCAGGACCATCTACTTGTCCCGCAGGACCATCTACTTGTCCCACATGGCCATCTACTTGTCCCTCATGGCCATCTACCTGTCCCTCATGACCATCTACCTGTCCCGCAGGACCATCTACTTGTCCCGCAGGACCATCTACTTGTCCCGCAGGACCATCTACTTGTCCCACATGGCCATCTACTTGTCCCTCATGACCATCTACTTGTCCCTCAGGACCATCTACCTGTCCCTCATGACCATCTACCTGTCCCTCAGGACCATCTACTTGTCCCTCAGGACCATCTACTTGTCCCTCAGGACCATCTACTTGTCCCTCATGACAATCTACTTGTCTCTCAGGACCATCTACTTGTCCCTCATGACAATCTACTTGTCCCTCAGGACCATCTACTTGTCCCTCATGACAATCTACTTGTCTCTCAGGACCATCTACTTGTCCCTCAGGACCATCTACCTGTCCCTCAGGACCATCTACTTGTCCCTCATGACAATCTACTTGTCTCTCAGGACCATCTACTTGTCCCTCATGACAATCTACTTGTCTCTCAGGACCATCCACTTGTCGTGCTACAACAAAAAAATCTTAACCAAAACCCTATTAAACAGTGCTAATTTGCGTGCGAAATTCAGAATACATGGCACAGGGCTGCACTGGACGGCAGGGTGGAGGGGAAGGACTGTTCACCAAAAGGTAAGTATAGCGGGGGAGGGGAGAGGGGACCAGATCTGAGCAGCTAAAGCAGCTAATTCAATTTGCCCAAATTACTTGAGAAAGTGGACTTACCCTTTAATGCACATTGTGTATGTTAGAGAGCGCTGCTACCTGGCTACCACAATATAGCACACAGTGGAATGGGGGCAGCACTCAGCGTACACACACAATGGCCTACGCATGTGTTTATTCGCATGCAGGGGGGGCAGCAGGATTAGTTTTCATTTTGTATTTATTTTTTTAAATCACTTTTTAACATTTTTATATATCTTGTTTACTTTTTTTATATTTATTTATTTTTTTACTTTTTTTATCACTTTTTTTTAAATTTACTTTTTTAACTATTATGTATGTTATTATTTTTTACATTTTCATTTCATTTATTATTTTTTACTTTTGTATCACTTTTTTTTAACATTTTTATTTATTTACTTTTTTAACTATTATTTATGTTATTATTTTTTACTTTTATAATTTTTTTATTTTAATTTTATAATTTTTTACTTTGTTCACTTAAATGTATTGCTTTCACACAGGAGCTAACAAGCCCCTGTGAGATAGCATTCGGAGGTTCTCTTTATGGTACCTATCACTTCCAATACAGTTCGAGTACGACCCTGGACTCTGCATTCCTTACTCTTGACCCCTGCACTCTGCATTCCTTAAGCTTGACCCCTGCACTCTGCATTCCTTAAGCTTGACCCCTGCACTCTGCATTCCTTACCCTTGACCCCTGCACTCCAACCTTATAACCACTGCACTTTGGGCTCCTTACGCTTGACCCATGCACTCTGCATTCCTTACTCTTGACCCCCTGCACTTTGCGTTCCTTACTTATAACCCCTGCACTTTGCGCTCCTTACGCTTGACCCCTGTACTCTGCGTTCCTTACCCTTGATCCCTGCACTCTGCGTTCCTTACCCTTGACCCATGCACTCTGCATTCCTTAAGCTTGACCCCTGCACTCTGCATTCCTTACCCTTGACCCCTGCACTCCAACCTTATAACCACTGCACTTTGGGCTCCTTACGCTTGACCCATGCACTCTGCGTTCCTTACTCTTGACCCCTACACTCTGCATTCCTTACTCTTGACCCCCTGCACTCTGCGTTCCTTACCCTTGACCCCTGCACTCTGCGTTCCTTACCCTTGATCCCTGCACTCTGTGTTCCTTACCCTTGACCCCTGCACTGTGCGTTCCTTACCCTTGACCCCTGCACTGTGCATTCCTTACCCTTGATCCCTGCACTCTGCGTTCCTTACCCTTGACTCCTGAACTTTGTGTTCCTTACCCTTGCCCCCCTGCGTTCCTTATGACCCCTGCACTCTACGTTCCTTACGCTTGACCCCTGCACTGTGCGCTTCTTACTCTTGACCCCTGCACTCTGCGTTCCTTACTCTTGACCCCTGCACCCTGTCTTCCTTAACCTTGACCCCTGCACTTTGTGTTCCTTAACCTTGCCCCCTGCGTTCCTTACTTATGACCCCTGCACTCTACGTTGCTTACTAATGACCCCTGCACTGTGCGTTCCTTACTCTTGACCCCTGCACTCTGTGTTCCTTACCCTTGCTTCCTGCGTTCCTTATTCTTGACCCCTGCACTCTGTGTTCCTTACCCCCTGCATTCCTTGCTCTTGACCCCTGCACTGCGCGTTCCTTACCCTTGAACCATACACTCTGCATTCCTTACCCTTGATCCCTACACTCTGCATTACATACTTCAGATTCTGGCACTCTGTGTCACTGTGCAAGTCTGAAGAGAAGGCTGGAGTTCAGCTTCAATCACCAGTGTAACCCTTGAAGCCAGAGGATCAGTATACTCGCCAGGCACTCAGCACTGTATGAAGGATATTATCAGTAACATCTGCTCCAATCTCAGTTCATATAACCATACACACTGACACTACACCGGAATCCCTCTCCCCGCTTTCCGTGACGTCACAGCACCTCACCTAAAGCAGCGCCCGCACAGCTCACAACCGGCCGGCACATGCGCGGTACGTCCCCCGGCCAACAAACTGAGCCAGACCGTCACAGAAGAGTTCCAGCCGGAGTGTACTGCGCATGCGCAAGGCTGGCTCTCCGGGCATGCGCAGCTTTGTTTTATGAGTCTGATGTCTGTGCGGGTGTAAATGTATGTTGTCAGCAGCGGTGTGACGTCAGCAGCAGTGTGTGATTACTGGGGTCCCAGAGGTGTCGTTGGTGGTCCGGCCCACCTTCCCTGAGTGTGTGCAGTCTGTTCATGTCTGCTGGGAGGAAATGAATGAAAGCCAATAGGATGGGTCGCCTCTGCGCAGTGCGGGGAATTCAGACCTTGGCGCCCTGCAATGTTGGTTTAGCAAGCGTTGTATTAAGCGTAGATTGTGCACATGAATGTGCCAAAATGTAACAGACCTTCACTTGGGGGAATTTATCAAAACTGGAGCATTTGATGATAGTAACCAATAAGCTTCTCCAGTTTGTTTAGTTAAGCTTTGAAAATGAAAGCTAGAAGTTAATTGGTTGCCATGTGGGCAACAGCTCCAGATTCTGTCTGTTTTGACTTCCACCTATTGTGTTTGACAATGCAGTCCACCGGCTCACTTTGTTGTGGGGCGGAAGGGGGTGTGGTGGTGCATTGAACTCAACGGCACCGTAGCCACGCCCTCCGCCTGCAAAGCGATCGGCCGCTCGGGAACACAAGCACATCAATGCTTGTGGTCTGGTAAGAAAAATTGCTGCAAGCACTATTTTTTTTGGACCAGACCAGAACGCAGGCATTGCTGTGCCACACTTTAGCCCAAAGGCAAGCAAGAGAAATCTATGCATGTATGGCCAGCTTAAGTCACAGAAATAAGTCATCCTCGAACCAAGTAAATTAAAGTTTCCGTTCAACATATCCCTCATTAGCCACACAGGATATAGATCTACATTGTGTGCATGTAAATCTGGATTCTACCTTGTTAAAGTAGCCGTGACATCATCACTGCTATACATAGTGTGTGCAGCAAGAGCAGCTGTGGGAGGTAGCTCCACCCACTACAGGCTGCCGGTAGAAAAATACAGGAGGGGCGGAGACAAGACCAGTCACCCTGCACAAGGAGAGAGAGCAGCAGTGACCGGTCTTTATTACAGGAAGCTCCGTCACTGAGGTAATGTTTCACTATGGACTACTGCACAGATCTTGAAGAAATACACAAAGCACACCAAGATTCAAGTAAGAATACACATGCCTTTTGTATTCAGACAATATTTGTTAATCCCGGAGTTCAACTGTAAGCCAACCAAAAGGGAAGCTATAAGTACCCATTCACACATAGACAATCAGTTATGGAGTGTTTTAAGCATTCAGGTTACATTATGCGTTCACATGCATTGCCTTCAGGCAGCCTATTCGTTGGAATAGACTGGCAAGCATGACGACAGACTGAAAATCAAATTGCCCTATTATTTATTATTTGTGATGCACCACATGTACAGTAGTGTATTACCATGCACTGAAATGCAGCTGCTTTAAAGTGACATTAAAGGCTAATTTTTTTCCCTCCCCCCAATGTTAGTGTCGGGACTTACCTTAAATGATGTCTCTTAACCACTTCAAGACCAGGTGTTTAGACCCCCTTCCTGGCCAGGCCATTTTTCAGTATTCAGCGCTGCGATACTTTGACTGACGTTTATTCCGTCATGCAACGCTGTACTGAAATGAATTTTATACCATTTTTTGGGGACAGATAGAGCTTTCTTTTGGTGGTATTTAATCACCACTACGGGTTTTATTTTTTATTATAATTAGGAAAAATTATTGAAAATTTTGAAAAAAATACGTTTTTTGTAACATTATGTTAGGAAACATTTATTATTACCCAGTTTTTTGGTCAAATATAAAAGATCAGGTCACGTCGGTTAAATAGACACCAAACATGTCAAGCTTTAAAATTGCGCTCACCCGCAACATCGCAGAAAACGACGGCAACCAAAATTGGCCATAGGCGACACTTTAA